CGGAAGTATCGGGCTAGGCATCAGAGCATTTGGGCAAGTACGAGTACCCGCCCAAATACTAGTATCGGTATCGGTGCATCCCTAGTAATATTCATACCAAATCAAGAAACAAACTGACCCGTTAAAAGGGTAGAAAAGCTTGTTTCTATCTGTGCAAACCTTAAGTTTTTAGAAGTCCATGAGAAAAATGACAAATATGAAGAGGAAGAAGAAACGGAAAGTTAGAGCAATAGTTCAGAAAAAGAATTAGATTAAATTGCATGTATTTGTTGCGTCTTCTTTCCTTTTAGCAATATATTTTTTTAAAGCACCACTCCAAAGTTAAACCTCGCTATGGAGCTTGAATATTGAGGTTGACCTTACACCTACCAATGTCCATATCGTACTGGCACAAATAATGCCAGTTACTTACCTTTTTATTTTCTATTGGTGCTAAGGGGCTAATCTGATTATCCTTTATGTTAATGGTTTCTTGCTTATTCTGTTGCTTTTGAGGGAAGTGGGGTGGTTACACGTTCTCATGTATAGTTGAAATGTTATTAACATGTACAGTCCTTGTTATTCCAATTGTGATAAAAAATAAAAATTTAAAAAGCAAGTTTAGCCTATTTACTGAATAAGCTGTACTTTTATTTCAAACATAATACTTTAATATACACTGCATTTCATGTACCTAGTGTAACAAAATGACTTTCAATTTTTAAAAATACCCCACACTGATTTTTATTGCAATGTTTCAGAAAATTTCAATTTTTCCGGAAAAAAAAACAGGGATTTTTTTTTTCATGGCTTAAAAATTTTCAGACATTTTACATCTCTAGGTACAAACTCTAGAGTCAGTCTTCAGTTTAAATTTTTTTAACTGCTCTCTGCTTCCTTGTTAAGAGAGACTTCACACACTTTCTGTCCTGGTGATGAAACAGGAAGTGGAAGGGAATCTCTAAATGGGTACACCAACAACAATAAGCATGTAACAGGGGTACCATCTCTTCCACACTATATCTAAAAAAGGGGCTGTGGCATCAAGATCCAATAAGCAACTGAAAAATAACCACACTGAATTTTGTGGCACGTCAGATCCTATCTACCTGTTCTTCTGATTCTATCGCAATAGACGTTCATACCCAGACAGTTCACGTATAAAATCCCCAGTTAACAGCTTGTGAAAACAATCAATGTTAATTTGCTGTACGGCGGAGAATGGCACGACGCCACAGTTTAAATACAAAATAAATTACCTATCATTGATAATGGCATTATCCACAAATGCGCCTTAACTTAAATGTAATCCAGGTAAAGGAAGTGGTTTCTAGCCAGCTAACGCAGAGAACACATTTTTATGGCAGCGATCTGAGGCTTCCTTATGAATGTCAATAATTCATTATAAATATAGCAAGGACTATTACTTATTTGCTCATTGAGCTGGAACAGCTGGAAACTAATAAATCATAAAGCTGTTAGTGTGTTTGGTTTGGACTTATGGAGCAGTAATAAAAAGAAGAAAAAAAAAAAGACTATGCAAACGGCAGTGAAGTGTGTGCGCATTTCGAGCACTGCCTGTGTACTACTCACAAACATCCTGAAAACACATTCTGTGTATAAATATCTGGCATATGAATGGGACCCCAATAATTCTCTCACAGCAAAGTATCTTTCTAATGATACTGTATCTATTGATGATTGCCAAGACCATGATATCAGTGATTCATTGTACTCTGTAATGCATATATCCTATTACACCAAATATTTAACATTTGTACCTATGATAGGAAACTAGTGTTGCTTTAAAGAAACACTGTGCTTTCAGGGCAAAGTGTGTCTTTGTAAAGCCGATGTAAAGCCCACTTCCTGTCCAATGTGTAAAGCCCACCCCCTGTCTACTGTGTAAAGCAGCCCTCCTGACCACTCTGTTCTTTGCTTGCTTACTATGAGGTATGGTGAAGCATGTGATCTCCTCCCATGATACTATGATCATTCCTAATGGTCAATTACTAAGCCTGAGCATTGTCACGTGATAGAGTAGGCATTGTCACCGTGAGCTCCTATACTGGTCAACAGTATTTCAGAGGCAAAAGACAACAAGAAAATGAGCGTTGGCAGGTGCACTGGAGAATATAAAGTGGTCAGGGGGGGTTTACACAGACACTTTCACTTTCCCCTGAAAGAACAAGGTGACAATGTCTCTTTAAATTTAGAGCCCCTTTCCTTGTGATTTAGGGCAGTTTTTCTCAACCTTCTTTTAGTCATGGCACGCTTTAAAAGTATGCAAAATCTTGAGGCACCCCAGTCTGAAATGTCATAGATTTTAAGAGGGGCACAAACAAAAAAAAGTGGGTTTCCCCTTCACATCGAAGTGCCCCCTTCAAATTAAGATTCCCCTTTACATCAGAGTTACCCTTTGCATCAGTACCCCACCTTTATATCAGGAGCC